TGTACAAACTTTTTTTATAAACTCCCTTATTCACTATTCACAATGGGGGTAGAGACTATAAGCCAATATATTTTAAATTCACGTGGGTCCATTAATTTTGTGAGAGTGAATACACTATTTTATCAATAAAATTTTGTACAAATATCTTTATTCTCCGTAATATCAATGGTGTTATGTTTAGATTTCAATTTCAATAGATGGTATGTAATTTTAAATAAACCTCTTGCACAAACCTCTTTGCACAAGGTCTGTACAGAGGCTCTCACATGGGGTCCATCCCCATGTGTGTGCATTTGTATAGACCATGTGTAAATGAGTCTGTGTACAAATAGCACAATCCATGTAATTTTGTCACGAAATGGATAGAAAAAAGACAAACAATTCCTTACCTAAACTTGTCATGCATACGTTATCAAGAAACATTATAATTAATGAATATGTCAGAAATCGTAGGTGCGGAAATCTGAAACTTCATTCATTACAGCATGCAAGTTGATGGGAAGAAGAAGATGATGAGAAGGTCACTGTAAATTTTGTTGGAAAAAATATTAAAAGGCATCTCAGATTGGGGGATAGATGAATTTAAGAACATTTACAGATGGTAAATTAAAAATGTAGTTAGAAAATATAGTGTTGATTTAAGATTGAAGAATTATTGCAAGGGTACAGCTCAATTATTAGAATGTTTTAAAACTAGAGCCGCCTTGAAGTAAATTTCCGCGGCTGTAAACACAATTATACATGCATATGTACACTTTCGGCTACACATTCAAGTATTTGCTCGTCGTGAAGGCTTATGAGTGAGATTTCTACTTATTGTAGTCACTTTTGGGGTTCTTTGTTTGGATTCAAATCTTATTTTCTTAAAACAAAGATTCATTCAATCAAGAAAAATACCTCTAATAAAATAAACACTCATTCTCGTTCTATCAAGTGAAGAGAAGTTTTTAATAGTTTGTGTCATATTTTTGTAATTTGAAAAAATGACTTTAAATCTTCGACTTTTTGTCACATATGAAATATCGAACAATATAAATCACTAACTCAAAGCCTTGATTGTATATAGGGAAATTCTTGTGGAAATCTCGATTAACTGGATACCATGACCCTTGACATGATAAAGCTACTTGCCCTATGATTTACATCTCAAAATGAGCTTTGAGACCAGATACGAATGGACGGAAAATAGTCGATGGTATTAACGATTGAAAAAGAAAAAAGAAAAAAGAAAAAAAGAAGAAGCTGAAATTATAGAGTCTATTTGGGAGTGATTTTGAGAATTAATTTTTTGACCGTTAGAATAAAAGTGGGGACTACCTGTGAGAGAAGAAGTTAAATATGATCTCTAGAATAGTGAAATAATGGTCAAAAAATCAAATTTTTTAGGAAAAAATCACTTCCAAATAGGCTGTATATTTATTATACATGAGAAATGTATTACTAGGCATTGTTATATAGCTATGTTAAGCAACAGTGATACGATACATCAATTAATTGGTGAATAAATTCGTGATATATCTCAAAAATTAAATGATCTATCAATTAATTTACGCACAAAATATTGCTGAATAAATCATTTCTCTTTTTTACATTGTCCAATTCTATATGAATGATACTATTCAACACTATTGATGTCAAGCGCCAATTAGGGGTGAGCGCGGGTTGGTTTGGTTCGATTCTAAAGAGAATCGAACTGAACCAAAATTTTTGAGTATTTAGTAAATGGAACCGTCGGGTCCAAATATAATTATGGAACCGTTCGGGTTTGGTTCCGTTCCATTCCATTCGGTTTTTTAAATAAATTTTTTAACATTTATAACAACATTATATAAATACAACTAATGATACATTCAATGGTTTTGAAATATCAGAGACTAGTAGACTACTTTATTCAAATGATCGCTACGGTCAAAATTTCAGTTGACGGAGGTCACAGCGTCAGTCGACGATTGTATAGGTTTTGAAATGTTAGCGAGGCTGCAAGAGTCAAGACAACGTTATGCACTTTAGTGTTGGTGTTTATGGTTATTTAATGGGTTGTATCTTGTTGAGCTAAGAAATGAGACAATAAAATGGGTAATTGGGCCAAAACTTAAAAAATTAGAAATGAAACAAATTATTGGACCAAAAATTTGGATTTAGAAATTGTTAATTTATTTAGAAAAAATTAAAATTAAAATAATTTGATTTATTCAATATAAAAAAAATTAAAAAGATTCGGTTCTTCGATTCTTGGTCTAGAACCGAGAACCGAACCTTATCCGTCGGTTCTCAATTCAGATACCCGTTCGGGTATTTAATTTGTAAGAACCGTCGGGTTCGATTTGATTCGATTCGGGGTTGGGAGATTTGCCCAACCCTAACGCCAATATGGATGACAACTACATAACATTAAATGATAAATGTACTTAAATACAATATCACATAATTAATTTAATTGAACATACTAAGTGGGATAGTCTAAATTGGTGCTAAAAGCACCACCTTCTTCTAAAGTGTATGTTATATAGTGGTTTAGAAAGCCCACGTGATTTTGTGTAAAAGTCATTACAATGCAAAAGTTATTAATTGGAATTTCTGAAAAGTTGTTGATGAAATTAATAGTTCAAGTATATGATAAGGTCCACATGACGTCACGAATATCCATGCAGACATTGATTCTTCTACCATCTATTGAAGATACTAGACAATAACTATGGACAGTCTTAAAACGTCTATTATAGGCGGGGTACAATACAGACGAGGTACTACACATATTAGAAGGATTAAATAAGAAATGAAAATGGGTTTTGCTAAGTATACATCAGAGTATCAAATGAGTTTTGCTAAGTGTATATTGAGGTTGATGTCTCAGTGTACACCTCCTTTCACTCACATGACCCCACAATTTTTGAGGTTTATTTTAATTTTAATTTTTTATTTTTATAAAGCTCTATCTGATATGAATTAAAATTAAAATTTTAATATAAATTAAAATTAAAATTTTAATATAAATCAAAATTAACAATTAATTTTAATAACATATTTTAAGAAATTCATAACTTTTCAATTTTTATCAAAATTTACTAGAAATTTGATTTTAATCTCCGTCAAACATGAGCAAAATCATAATAGATTTGAACTTTTCCATTTTTCTTACACTCTCGTGAATCTCTCACTCACGCATTTTATCAAAACCTTAACTTTTCTAATTTTTTAAAATTTATCTATAATTTCTCTACAGATTATAATATTTACTTCATTTCCTAATCATATTTTGAACCTAAATTTGTATTTTTTCCTATCAAATTGTGTATACTGAACGAGTCTTAAATGATTATACTCATTTGACTTATATTTAACAAATTGTGTTTATTTGATTGAATATTAGTACTGAATATTGATATATGCGATTTTCTTTTTATTACTTGAATTGATTGTTTGTATCAAATACACTATAAATTCTTTAAATGTAAATATGAACTTATTTATTTTTTTGTCACGAGCAAAGTTTTAATGAAAGGACTGTTCAAAATTAAATGGATGAAAATGATGAACAAAATATCAATGAAGGAATGTGTTATTAAACTTAATTTTGCGTTTTCTCAAATCAAATATGAATTATTCAAAAATCAAGAACAAAATACTCGATCTATACAATGTCTGATTATGCCCCCTAACTCAAAAATTTTGCATCTGCCCCTACCCCTCCCAAGAGGGGGGACACAAGATTGAAAATTGGTTTTGCTAAGTGTACATTCCTGATTGAAAATTCGAAACTAATTACTTGTTGAAGTTGCTAAAAACCTAGTTGATAGTAATGAAGTATGAATTTTTTTTTTTTAGGTATACGACCTCAATTCCTTTCAATCATGTTAGCAATTTCTAGCAAAATATATGTACATACAGATTCTAGTTGTAGGAGTAGGTTCGAAATTATAATTGAATTCATGCGTCCTTAAGAAATCTTTTTGACAAGAAAGAAAACGATATTTGTTTAACTCGAGGATAATAATGTTTTCTTAAAGATGTATGTTACAAATTGTTTGCAACCAAAAAAATAAAGAAATATAAAGTAACCAATGAAAATCCAAAGACAAATAATAAATTTGTAGAAAATAATTTATTTCATCCACGTTTTATAATTTTTGGAAATGCAAAAAATTCATTTATTCAAGCAAATCGCCACAAATTGTTATTCCATCTAAATAAATGCCTAACCAATGTAGTAAAATGTTCAAGCATGTAGGCAGTCATATTCACATTTCGAAGAATGAAATGACATATTTTATCCGTTATCGGTGTATAAATACAAGATAATTCGACATTTTTTCCTAAGATAGCACTAATTAGTTTCATATTCTCCACTAATAATAAAATGCAGCAAAATAAAACAATTTAGACTAAATCAAAAATAAACAAAACAAAAATTAAGATACGATTAATGGCTAGGCACCAAAAAATGTACTATCACGTCTTGAGTACATAAAATTTCTCCTAGCTCTTGTTTGGTACACATTCTTGGTAACTTATTTTTTTTTTTTTTAAAGTGATTTTCAATCACATATTTTTTCCAATAAAATAGTTTTACATGAACCTCTAACTTTTCTCTACTCTTTAACATGTTCACCAATAAAATCACTTTTCTTATAAAAAAAATCTACATCAAATAGACATTTATTTTTTCATTTTTGGTCTAACACCCCAAGACTATAGAGACACTGATGAACTCCAAGCATACCCCCCCGGCGCCCAAGACCATAGAGACACAGATGAACTCCAAGCATACTACTAGTTTTTATTGTTAATAAGACAATGGTACACAATAAAATTTAACTTAGATTTCATATTATGAAACGTCACAACTCCACATATTAATTGGCCGACAACATAACAGAGGCTGCATCAAGTAATTATATATGTCGACAGCAATTATATCCCATGCGTGCATTTTGTAATTTTATATAAATTACTCTATATATAGAAACTTAAAAGATATACCTTCAGTCGTAAAAATTCTTACCTAAATATGTATTTAGTGATTTTCCAAGAAAAGAAAAAAAATAAAATCAGAAAACTATAGTTTTAGATTCTTTAGCTTTATATATGGTCTGCATGTCTTGACATAAGATCCAACAAATCTGCCATTTTTGTTATCGCTCTGAATAGTACTGTTTGTTGTGTGTGTAAAGAAACAAGCTGCACTACTAGTTTAAGAAACCCTAATATGGGTAGATCATTGACTAGCCTTGAGAAGGTGGATATGAAGAAAGGGCCATGGTCTCGGGAAGAAGACCAAAAATTGTTGGCTTACATTGAACAACATGGCCATGGCAGGTGGCGTGATCTTCCGGCTAAAGCGGGTAATCATGTTGTATTATGCGCGCACTAAACGTCGACGCTAAGAATATAATTGCTTTGAATGTTCATCAAATCTATTACTGAATCGAATGATGTGATATTCAATTATTCATGTATCTAGTCCCCCTTTTTTTTAAAAAAAATATGTAAAATATAGTGTTAAAATGGAGTTGTTAGAAATATATTCACCAACTTCTCTGTGATGTAGGGCTTCAACGATGTGGAAAAAGCTGTAGATTGCGATGGACAAATTATTTGCGACCTGATATTAAGAGAGGAAAGTTCAGCTTGCAAGAAGAGAAGACTATTATTCAACTCCACGCTCTTTTGGGCAACAGGTAAAATCAAGAATTGAGTACAATTTTTCAAAATTTATAATCGAACTTTTCTTTTCTCAAAATGTGTTTGTTCATTTAATTATTTTAGAAAAAGGTACTTATTTGGTTCACATAGTTTTAGATGGTCAGCAATAGCAACTCACTTGCCAAAGAGGACTGACAATGAGATCAAGAATTACTGGAATACACGTCTTAAGAAGAGATTAAGCAGAATGGGAATTGATCCAGTGACTCATAAGCCCAAGAACCACTCCGGCGGAGCTCAGTCGAAGAATGCCGCTAATCTTAGCCACATGGCGCAATGGGAGAGTGCTCGACTCGAAGCCGAAGCCAGGTTCCTCCGCCAGTCCAAACTTGTATCCAACCCTTATTTCTCTCATCACCACCACGACTCCACCGTTCTACCACCACTAGCACCACAGCGGCCGCCTCCACCATGTTTAGATATACTTAAAGTCTGGCAAAGAACATCTAAATCCTTTTTCACCCCAAGTGGAACCCTTGAGTCTCCAACATCTACCTTAAACTTCTCGAGCAGCATGCTCCCAGTCGAGGAACCGCACCGATCCATCCCGAACTTTTTTGTCCCTTCCACAAACGCAATCTCTGTCGAAAATTCGGGTGCATTATGTGTATCCCAAAATCCCCACAACTCTCTTATGGCAAACGATATAATGGAAAATCCCATGCAGCTTATGGATCATTATAATCATAATGCCGTCTCTCTAGAAGATCTGCCTATTTCTGTTGATCACTACAATATTGATGCTGGTCCAGAAGGTTTCGAGGAGGTTAAGGATTATTGGAACGACATACTAAATTCAGTGAATTCGCCTATCCTCTAAGATTTGCTAGTCAATGTAGAAAATTTGTGATTTTCTATGTCCATGCAACAAGGTATTAATCAATAAATAAATGCAGTCATTAGTCACTTGATTTTTAATTAATCATCTAGCTAGTTATGTATTGACAGCTTGATTTCATTTTATAGTTCAAAATTGTCAGTCTTCTTTTCGTACAAGAAAAATTTTACAAGTCAAAAATAATAATAATAATAATAATAAATTTACAAGTCTCTATCTGTCATTTCTTGTCCTTGCTTCATTTTTTAATACAAGTACAACAGACATGTACAGTTTTTAAAAATGCATACGACAAAACTTGAACGTAAAAATCAATTGTGATAATATCATCCATTTAAATTATTTTTCATGTTCGACCTACATTTTTTAAAATCTCGTTTAAAAATCGTATTTCATTGGACTCCACGACTTTCATAAAATTTTTAATCATATTAACTTTCATCAATCAAGTAGATAAACGAATGTAATTTTTAGTTAAGGACTATATTTATGAACCTAGTACCTAGTACTAGTCAAAGTAGGCCTCGTTTATTAATGAGAGAGATACATCTCTGTGTGAGGCAAACTATCCCATCAAAAAGGTGTGACATAAAGGAAATAGATGATGGAAAAATATGTTGGGCCAGGATTAAATCTCGACCAAACAATAGGGGGCCCAACAGCTGCCCCCTCAATGGAAGGCGCCACATGGGCGTCTTGTTTTTTGGCTGGGATTTCACCCTAGCCAAAAAGCACGGCTCATAGATGATAGAATGCTTAACCTCTCTAGTTTTAATTATTTTTATTTACTTCCATGTGTCTTTACGATTTGGGCATGTTAAGAAGAAAACTAAACAATGTATAACAGTTTTGAGTTATTTTTCTTAACAATATTCAGTCTTAAAACTAATATTGGAGTTCATTAGATTCTAATGAGTAATTAGATCTGTTTATAAGTTCAAATTAACATCCAAAATTGATGTTTGCAAATAAGGGCATAATTGATATAAAAAATTTTGAGAACGTATTTTGTAATAAGAGATTTTATTTTATTTTATTTTTTAAATTTGTGGTTAAAAAGTAAGAAAAAATTATAAATCAACATACAAAATTATTTCAGTAGAAGAATGTATTGTTAAAAATGAATTTGTCCAAAAATAAATTTAAAAAAAAAAAATATTAAACAGATGCTAAGTCATCATCTTAAGAAGGCATGGAAAGAGTAAAAATCATACATAGTTTAAATCTAAAAATAATAAATAGGAAATTTGCATTTTCATCCCCAAATTTTGTTAAATGTAACAAATCTACTAACAACATCATTTCTTATCACAAAACTCGTCATTCCATCTATTTTGATCATTAAATGACAGATTTCTAAAAATAAACAAAAAAGTTGGAAATAAAATCCTATAACTTTTTAAAAATATAAACAACATTTAAATCAATTAAATAGGTATTAACAAATAAGAAGAATTTAGAACCTTTGCTAACCCAAGATTTTAGCTGCTATAATTTCCAGATCTTGAACCATAAAAGAACAGCAAAAGGAAATCCCTTTTTGTTTTAATAGTACAAATATGAAATTGAAAATTCAAAAACACAATCTTTTTTCGTCCTAATCTCATGGTTCTTGCTATGGAATTGGGTCGGGTTGATCCAATTTGATCTGAAGTTAGGTCACACCAAATGCATACTCGAAGACTTAAAGAGCAACTCCATGACCACCATGTCAATCCCGACGAGGGCCACCATTTACCCGACACGCATAAAAGTTTGATTTTTTATTTTTATATTCATCTTGATTGTCATGTCTCTTTGAATTATATGGGCTGATTTAAATTGCCGATAAGTGAAAATTCTATTTATTTCTTTGTGTTGCTCTCCTGGATGTAATAGGAAAGGTTTCTGACGTAATGAAAGTTTACAGGAAATAACAAATTTTTACGTGGAAGTTAAAATTAGTAAATTGGTTCACAATTGTCAGAGAGAAAATTTATCATTCATTTTTATTATAATGATAACACTAAGTGCCGTTAAAATTTACAACTCTTATTTAAATCAATGACTAGAATTTAAATAATGACTAAAATTAAAAGTCAAAACCTCCTAATCAATCCACAACAAAAGGAATTGAATTTCGAATTTAAGTAATACAAGAAAATTACCAAGAAAAGCGTAAAACTCATTTTTCTAAGGCTTAAACGATGGAATTTGGCTGGAACAGGTTGTACATTAGGGATTCTCCGTTGTGTTTTGTTCGTTGGGCCATTTTCACTCAAAATTAACCCAAAGTTCTCCGAAAATGATCACACTGAAAAATTATTTATGATGACACCGGTCTCACTTTTTGATGAAATCTTCTTCTTCTGTACAGCATCGGTTTCATGTAAAATATTTTGTACCTTACGGGTGACATCACCTCATGGGAATAGCTATCACTACTCGGACAATGTTGTCGAGGGGCAATTTGCATTTCAAGCGGTTGAAGGAGACCAATACATGACTTGCTTTTTCTCAGCTGATCACAAGCTTCCTTTTAATTTGACCATCATCTTTGATTGGAAATCTGTAGTGGCTGAGTTTTATCATATCATTCGAAGAAACTACGCCTCATCTTTGATAAAGTAAATTTTCTCCTCCTCACACCGTAGTTTTTTTCTTGTCTTTAGTTTTCATGTAAATCTTTTGCTCTTGTTATTATTTTTATATTGCCCATCCTTGTTTTTGTGTAACATATAAATTATTACTTTTAGATTACATCTCATGTTTGTGATTTTTGTTTGTCGCTTGCTTTTTGAAATGAGGATGTTTGTTCCAGGGAAGGATCGTAGTTCGACCCAATCAACACCTAGAGGGGGGGGGGGGGGGAAAAGGGG